GCAAGCTCCATCAAGCTAATGCAAAGAGGAGAGAAACTCAATGCTACCACTGAAGTTTAACTTACTTCCTCATTTTTGTATCTTAAGCAAGGAGGAGTACAAAGTAGAAGATGACAAACACAATTAAGGTTTAATAACTATTTCAGTTGTTATGTTACCTGAGGCAATTTGCAAAATTAGCAGGGGCTATTCTGCTTTTTAAACAGTATCTTTATAGTTTCTGATAAAGTAGTCACAGTGATAGACTGCATTCAAAATGCAGTCTGCATTAGGCACTGCTGAAATTGCCTTCTAGAATGTAATTCTGGAATATATAATGAAATATAAACCTGGCCTACACATTTGCATGGAAGGAAAAAAAAAAAAGAAAAAAAGAAAAAGAGCAAGGCAGAAAGAACTGTGCAAACCACCGTGCTAATACAAGATGCTTCGCTAACACAACAGTTGCACAATGTGATTTGTGAATTTGATTTGTTCACACCTGAAGCCTAGAGGGACTGAGCCCTAGCCTCCAGCTCTACCCTGAGCATTGAGGACTTCATGGCCTTTCATTGCACGACTGAGATGAGAAGGCTTTTCAGGGGTCTGCACACCCCCGAAAGACTGTGAACTACTTCTGTAGGTTAATCAGCACAAAATGTTATCTATAAAAACAAGCCTGCTGTAGGATTGTTTGTTTAGAGAGCTGTGAATCTCCACAAGTCCATTTTAGGCAATCACAAACTTAGAAATGTTGAAAATGATTGTGCTGAAGGTCTAAGAGGATTTAAGTCTAAGGCATAAAATTAACTTGTGTTAATTAATACCCACCTAAATCCTCAAGTATCCCACATGAACTAAATAATTAAAGGTCAGCATTTGCAAACTCTTATCTTAAAGCCAGACATACAACTCAAGAGCTTAGCTTGAGCTGATAACTAAGAACACATAAATGTCCAACTTCAGCTAACTCCCCACTCAAGACGTGCCAATTCTTGACATTGCTGCAGACCTGAATATACTAAATGCCCTTTTTAAACCATCAGCTCAACATATGATTCTATGAGATTCCCAGCTTCCATTAAAAACAGAAGTCCAGATTTTGAAAGGGGTGGACATGAAAGTCAGATTTTCATGAGCACCAGGTACCACATTTTCAGTGATTCAATAAACAATACATGTTTTTTGAAATCTTATTCTACAGTCAGCTGTACTGTAACTAGAAATTCCCTGTGATTTAAGGTTGCTAATGTGTTCCAGAATAAGCTTGAGACTAGAAGACTAAAGGCTAACAAAAACAAGCAACATGGCTAAAATATAAGCAAGATGACTAAAATATAGTATTTAATTTGTGTTCAGCAGCTCAAAGCAGATTGTAGGCACTTGAGGTCTCATTTCAATGGCCCATAATTAGCACTTCTGTACACTTAATTTGAAACTCGATGCCCAGGTCAGAAGTCTGGGTCTCTGGCCACGAATGTTAAGTGCCAGTCTGAAAGATCTGTAACTCCCTACGTATGCGGTCTCAAAAAATCAGGCTTCTTAGAGACAGCATATTGGGACATCTGGCTTTTAAGGCATCTAAAATTACTGGTTCCCTGAAAATATGTTTTCTATGCTTGTCTCCATTGAGACAGGCCATCTACTCATCTTAAAGTTATTGCATGTTTTATGAGTTTAGCTAGGTCTTTTTATTTTAGGTTACCATAGCCACAACTGGTATACACTGTCATCTTCAGTATTTCATTGTAAAATGTTGGTCAGCTACCTTTCCAAAGAGAAGGCACACATCAGAATATTTTAAATCACCTTCAAGGACAACTGTCAGGAATAAGAATCAAAGCAGCCTGCTTGTTTCTCTACAGCTGGAGCAAGTTCCACTATCAATTCTGCTGAAGTCATGACCATGAATAGTACTGGGATATTTTGGTTTCTTTATTATAGACAGAAAGAATATATACTGCAACCATGAATGACTAAGACTTTTTTTCATCCAAAACCAATACAGAATTAGGAACTCCGAGCATTCCCTTTTTGCAGAACATGGTATGTCTCTTATTTTTTAAAACTTAAGGCAATTTTACTGAGGAAAAAAAAATATTAATCTTTGCATTATTTTAAGTAACTGACATACAACTGTTAAATTATAAAATTAGAGGAGGAAAACCAACTAATATTACTTTTTAGATGCATGCAGATGAATAAGTACACCACAAAACATACCTTTGCCATTTTCTGTGCTTAGTTCACCATGTAAGAGCATTTCAGAAAGACCTATTCACAGCTTTTAACTCTGGACTTCAATTGCCTCCCGTTACACCGTAGCTAGCCTATATATCCTGTTGAATAATTTGATATTGCTAGTTTGTCTTTGTAACCCAAAGACAAGCTAAATTGAATGCTGCTAACCAGCACTAGTACTAAAGCTTTTATGTGATTTCCTTAGAAAGGTTGCGTGTACATCATGGGGGTATTTGCATACATGATGGAGAAGGTACTTACATTGCTGTGTATTCCATGGCTAAATAACTCGGAATCAGAGTCACAGAATACTTAAGTTTGGAAAGGACCTCTGGAGATCTCCTAGTCCAACCCTTCTGCTCAACGCAGGGTCAACTAGATCAGGTTGCCCAGGGCTGTGTCCAGTCAAATTTTGGTTATATCCAAGGATGTAGACTCTAGAATGTCTCTGGGAAACCTATTCCAGAGTTTGACCACCCTCACAGTGAAAAAGCTTTTTATGTTTAGATGGAATTTCTTGTATTTCAGTTTGTGCCCAATGATTCTTGTCCTGTCACTGGTCACGAGTGAGAAGAGTCTGATTCCCACGTCTTTATTTTCCACCTCAAACACCCCCCATCCCTCCCATCAGGTATTAATACACATTGAAGAGATCCTCCCTGAGCCTTCTCTTCTATAGGCTAGATGGCTCCAGTTCTCTCAACCTCTCCTCATTTGACAGATGCCTCAAACTTTTAATCATCTCTGTGGCCCTTCACTGGACTCACTTCAATATGTCCCTGTGTCCCTTGTACTGGGGAGCCCAGAACAGGACACAACACTCTAGAATTGACCTCACCAGTATTGAATAGAGGGGAATAATCACCTCCCTTGGTCTGTTGGACGCCAGTGAACAAGTGCACGTTGCTGGCTTATGTTCAACTTGGTGTTCACCAGGACCCCTATGTCCTTTTCTGCCAAGCTGTCTACTAGCCAGATGGCCTCCAGCCAGTGTGGGTGCAAGGGGTAATTGCTTCCCAGGTGCAGGGCTTTGCATTTCCCTTTGTTGAACTTTTGTCGTCCCATTTCTCCAGCCTGTCAAGATCCTCTGAATGACAACAGAACTATCTCATGTATCAACAGCTCCTCCAAATTTAGGGTACACTCTGTTTCACTGTTTCTGTTAACAGTGTAGATGTTAAACAGTACTGGTCCCAATATTGACCATTGCAGTATACCACTAGTGACTGACCTCCAGATAGATTTCGAGCCTCTGATCAAAGCCCAGGAATTCAGGCAATTTTCAATCCACCTCACTATCTACTTATCCAGTCCTTACTTGCTCAATTTGTCTGTGAAGATGTTATGTGAGACAGTGTTGAAAGCCTTGTTAAGGTCAAAATAAACAATATTTAGTGCTCTGAATACCTCACATTACCATGATCTTTCAAAGATGAGCAACAGTGGCCTCACAATGGCATGGGCCAGTTCCCTCAGCTCTTGTGAGGGCATCCCTATCGGGTGCCATGCACATGTGTACGTCCCATTTGTTGAAATATTTGCTAATCTGATCCTCCTCTACCAATGGTAAGTCTTCACTGCTCCAGACTTTCCCATAGGTCTCAGGGGCCTGTGATTCTTGAAGGCAAATCCTACCCATAAACTGAGGTGAAAACAATGCTGTGTAATTTAGCCTTTTCCATGTCCCACATCACCAGGTCATTGCAGTAGTGAGCCCCGCTTTCCCTGATCTGCCTTTTGCTGCTGATATATCTGTCAAAGCCCTTCTTATTTCCCTTCGTGTCCCTCACCAGATTCAAGTCCAGGTGGGCATTGGCTTTCCTGACACCATTCCTGCACACTTGGACAGCCTCCTGTCTCCACCTGGGTACCTTGATCGTGCTTCCACCTCCCGCTGTATTAGTTGTTTAAATCATTTGAACAAAGCACCTTTCAAATGATGAATAGATTTCCTTTAGAGACTCGTCCACACCCCCTGTCAAAGCTGAGCTGCTGTGCAGACAAGACACACAGCAGACAAGAATGAGCCTAAGTGCATCTAAGGGATGAGTGCTTTACTGGCAAGGGGCAGTGCTGGGCTTCTACAGCACCAAATTCAAGCACACCACATGATCTGAAGAGAAATGCAGAGGTGGAAAGGGAAGAGGGCAGGTGGCAAGTCCTGTGGAGTGACACTGAAATCAAACATCTCATTGTAAGGGTGAAATGGCACAAATGAAAGATCTCACACATTATCAGTACTGACACTGGATTTCGGTTTCACTAGAATATGTTACTACTCACAGAGGCCATTAGCGGACCAAGTAACAGGGTTGGAAAGCTTTAAAGAAGCACAAAATATTCCGAGAGAGAGGCAAAAGAAGAATCTATGACATCAGAATGAACTGCATGATACTAAAAAGAGGGGAGCAAATAAATGGACTGGAAGAAACCATTTAAACCAGCTGGATAGAAAGGAGGAGAAAAGTAGAACAGGATCTGTTTTTAAATAAAAACATAAAAGCCAATTCTCAGAGAATATAACCTGACCTAATTCCATTAATATCAGCCCCTTAACAGGTTTATTACAGAAGCTACGTTCACTGCTTTGAGTTGATGCTGTAGGCTCTCAGGGAGGATCACACACCTTTTACCTGCACAAGGGTTGCAGGCTCAGACCCACTCTAAAGGACCTCAGGGGTTTTTTTAAGCTACTATGTTTAATTTTCTAACCACAAGTTTTTCCTTCTGGATTCTAACTTTTACAACACTGTCCCGACTCCTCTACAATGACCACTTACCTTCTTCAGCTCTTCCTGAATACTTCTGCCATTGTCCTCCGAGGACAAACTCTCCCTCTGGTTTTCAGGGTCTGTTCTAGGTTCTGACTCTTGCTCTTCACCAGAAGATGTTTCCTTGTCACTCATTTTAGCAGCAAGCTGAAATAATCTGGATTTAAGCTCCTCTTCCATAAGGTCAGGCTTGATATTATGATGCTGATCCTCACTGCTTATATCTGTTTCTGATAAATCATCGAAATCCTACAAAGACATTAGAAGAACCGTATAATTACTGTATAGGTACAGAAACAGAAACAGCTTCCTAGAAAAGCGTAGGTAAGATCACTCTGCAGGGAAGCTAGAAAGCAAGTACACTAAGTGTGCTGATAAGAAAATACCATGTCTTTACAGAGGAATGCCAGTAAACCCACACTTGTTGGATTATATTTATCATTCCTGC